TATAACACATATGGCAATCTTTATTTTTATCTTCTGGGAAACTTATACCAAGAGTTTGAAGCAATTTAAGCCTTTAAACTGAGAATTATATCAACCCAAAGATTGGTCAATATTGGGACAAAAGCTGATTTTTGAGCCCTCAGCAGATCTGGAATTGCTCTCATGAACTGACCCCCAGTTTTGTTCGTTTTTTTTTATTTATTTTTGAGATATAAAGATGTGAGTGGTATCAAGATGTCAGTGTATAAAGTTCTTTCTTCCACAAAAGCACAGCACGTTAAAATTCCAAGTGATGGAGGACGCTTTTCTGGCATGTAGCAGGAAATATTCTGAGTGACTCCAGCATGGTTTTCCTCTTGTCAACAAGTTAATTTGAAGAAAAATAGCTGTGCTTCCAAAATAATAGTGTCTCCTGTCATAGAATTGCTGAACACTTGGTTCTGCTACACGGATTTTTATTAGAGAGAAGCAAGACTAATTTACAAACATCAAGAGGCAGAATGTGATAAACCTGGCTGTGCTTGGATGTTTAGAGAATCTGCACTGTCAGTTTAGCTACAAATGTGCTGTGGCAGTCAGGAACACTTGCCAAACTTCACTGCAGCCAAAGCCCACTTTGTATTCTCAAAGGATTTCTTGGTTTTCTGAGACAGACAAAGGTCATAAAGTGTGACTTGATGTAGTGTATGTCTCCATCATCTGGGTATTCAAAAGACAGAAGCTGAAGTCCTTGAAGTCCATTGCAGCTATTCAGCTACATGGATTAGAAATGTACACTTGAATTTCTTTCGTCTGGTGTTTTCATTTGAGATGTGCAAGAGAGGTGGAGGGAAAGAATGAAGCAGCAGTAATGGATTAAAAAAGCTTTTAAGCTCATCTGAAAAAGAAATATATTGCATCTATCCATCAGTCACATTGCCCGTGACCATTTTAAAAATTCTAAAAGTCCAACACCTTTTTGACAGTGTCCATAAATGTGTATTGCAATTCACTGCTTCGTTCACTATTCTGCACTGATGCAAAATATATGAATTCATAATTGCCCACAGCATGGCTGGAGACCCACCTGAGTTTTGCTAATGACAATTTCCCAAACTTCTCGAACTCTGTCAGCAAAGCCTTCAGTAATTTGCCTCCTTTTGTATTCTGATGGAGCCTGGAAACAGCTACAAAAACTGATAGTGTGCTCCTGGGTCTGGCTTTGTGTGGCCTCGATGCCTTCTTTCTCCTAAAAAGAAACACATCATTATGACCTCTCTGCCACCTTTGTGAACACAAGCTGTTACATCTCTCTCTCTCTCTCTCTCTCCTGGATGTTTTTCAGAACTTCCACATGGACTTTTTTATCACTGTTCACCTCAAAAGATCCTAAGGCACCTGCTGAGGTACTCCCTGGGCACCCCTAGTCCTTGTGATGCAAACACTAAATGGCATTTACAGTGCAAAGCTGGTTTGATTTGTTTCTTCAGCAGCAAATCAGAGGGTGGATTTTTAACTCTAAGGACACCTTCTTGTCTCCAGAAAGAGATGGAGCACTGCTACCTGTGCTGCATGTAAATGAGAGTCAGCCCTGCAAGCAGGAGGCTGAGCACAGGGCAATTCTGACCTCTGAAATGGATGTTGTGTTTATTAGAGCACATATGTATCCCAGCTACAAATCAGCACTAAATTATACAAGTCAAGGCCTCTTTGACTTGAAACAGCTGCTAAAGGCAGAAATCAAACACACGGAGACACCCGACAGAACCCAGCCCTGGCAGACTGCAGTGAGAGCTTTCAAACACCACCCAGGGCTTTTACCAATAGTTTTGCTTTCACTTTTCATCAGTGTAAAGGCATTACGTGATTCTCTCTGAAAATAAAGATATCCAAGGAAGATGAAATAAGAGAAAAATCTATATCTGAATGTATTATTTGCCTGTTGCCTCAGAGAACAGCTCATTGCTGCAGTGCTCTAACGAGCCACTCTGTGCTGGGCTCTGACTGCATTCCTAATGACACAGTTCTGCTCTCTGCAGTCTCAAACAGCATTTCTGTAGTGACACACAAAGGCAGAGCACTTTACTTTTGATTCCACAGGAAAAGTTAGAGGATGTTCAGAACTCCCAACCTCAGCACGTCCAGAGCAAATTTGCTTGGACAGTAAGAACCAGGGAAGGGGAAAGGGGAGAGGGGAAAGGGATTTCAGTTAATGCAGAAGGGAGCTGCCACCCCAGACTGGTACATGGGACTGTGTCAGAGTCAGGGATCTGTGTCCCTGCTGTGCAATTCCCTGTGCCTTCAGTGGGAGAGAGGGAACATTGCAAAAAAACTGCTGTGAAGTGACTGAGGCAGTGAGAGAATGAGGGAGGGGCTGAGGTGAAACCATGACTGGAGTCAGAATCCCAGAATGGTTTGGGCTGGGAGGGAGCCTAAAGCCCATCCCATTCCACCCTGCCATGGCAGGGACACCTTCCACTGTCCCAGGCTGCTCCAAGCCCTTGGACACTTCACAGCTCTTTGGGCAGCCTGTGCCAGAGAATCACCACCCTTCCAGGGAGAATTTCTCCTAATATCTACTTCAAACTTGTATATTCACTCTTACAGGGGAGAATTTTTCCTAATATCTACTTCAAACTTCCTCCCTGTCATTTGAAGCCATTCCCCCTTGTCCTGGCACTATATGCCCTTGTAAAAAGTTTCTTGATGAAAGGTATCTAGGCAAAAATAATTTAGTTTTTCTCCTGGCTTTCTCAGTTTCTGCTAACCTGAGGTTTTCTGAGGGAGAGGACAGGAATAGACATTAAATCAGACCTAAGATCTTCCTCCTCTCACCCCTTAATGAATGCCATAAACCCAGGCTGCTGGGTCCCTCATTATCAGGTAATCATGCTGGACCTAAAATAACTTCCCTTCTGAAGCTTTATCAGAACCTGACCTTTCCTTAAAACCTTTTTAATAAATTGTCACTTTCTTATTAAATTAATCTTGGAAAAAGACCTGGACAAGGGTTTGTTCATGGACTTTTACTTTAGACATCAGCATGATTGTGCATCCATGGCTACACACACACTGTCCTTCGGCACTACTGACCAACCAGCATTTTAATTTTATTTTCAGCCATAGGCTTTTTTCCTGATCTTTTTGTGTAACTAAAAAGCTTTGGGAACTATAGATGCAGACATAATTAATAAAGCCTCGTGTATTTATGGCAGTATTTTAAACTTCTCAGTGGAGGACTTCGATTTTGAGAGCAAATGTGTAAAAATCTCCATCTCTTTTCACGCCAATCTGATAACAGAGGAACAGTTTCAGAGCTCTGTCACTCCTTTCACATTCTGTTTACAATAGCAGCCAGCCTTTTTTGCTTTATACTTGCTTGAACAGTTATCTGGCAATCCTGGGGACTGGTTTGTGCTTTTTTCCCATGGCAGGAAAGAGAACCAAGCCATAACTATACCACAAATAAATACCTGAGAGATTTAACCTCTGGCCAAGTACAGGCTGAGGATAGATGGCATTGCACGTGCCTATGAGCATCACCAAAATAAACAGAGTCTCCTCAGGAAGCTGGCAATACATCACACAGTAACTCACAGCTGAGGAGGAATTCCTGGATAATCCCCACAAACACAGGCACTGCCAGGATTCCCTGCACCACCCAGCAGAGCCCTTCACTGCTGGACACCACTGGGTTATATAAACCCCCACTAAGTAAAGCAGCTTATTCTAAATGTATGGGTTTTGTCTGACTCACTTTCCTCAGAGTAACACTGCTCCCTCACTGTCCAACAGCTAAAGAAGTTTCCAGAATAAATTCATCCCAGAACAAGGCATTTATACCTGTCCTTTGCTAAAAATCAAACAGCAACTAACCAGTGAAACAAAACAAACAAAAAAACCCACACAACCCAACAATCCACCTTTTCTAGAAGGGAAGGTCTCATTTTCAGGCATTTCTCCTTCCCAGACTAGTTTGGGCTGCAGTTTGACACAGAATTGTCCAGAACTGTGGTGGGCCAGCCTTGGCTGATGAGCAAACTGCAGCCAGCTCCTGGCTCACCCTCCCCTCAGCTGGACTGGGGTGGATAAACAGGGAGAACACAAACAAGGAGGTTCAGGGGTCAGGACAGACAAGGAGATTGCTCCAGGTGCACCCAGCACAGCAGCTCAGCCTTCTGTTCATGGGTACAGCTAATAGAGAATTGTTATGTTAACCTGACAAAGCCAGAGTCACTGTGATATCAGTCTTTGTTATCAGCATGTCAGCCACCTAATAAATACATTCCATCATCTCTGTGGGAGTTTCAGTCATTTAGATGGTAATTCCTCTTCATAGGTATGTTCTACACCAGGTGCCAAATATAATCATCTATAATATTACTGGTGATGTATTTTAACACTTTTCATGCCCCTACACTTGTGTGTGGTTTCATTATGTAGGAAGTGTCTCAATTTAAATTTGTGTGTCCCATCCGTGCAGGACATCTTCCTCTTGAAACTTGAAAACATTACTGCACTTCTGAAATGCGACAGCAAGGCAAAGTAACAAAAAATTATCTCAAATCCAATTAAAATTTTTTGAGCAGTCTAAGCTACCATTGAATATATTTTTATCTTGGTCTGTTTGTTAAGTGTCCTATGAGCTTGGTGGCATACTAGAAGTGATTTTACAATATTTTCTTGTCTCAACTTTAGATATTCAGGGTGCTTCTCTCCAGCCAGCCAGCCAGCTGCAAATGGCTCTGCAGTTGTCTCTCCACACTTACAGACTGGCCTTCTGGGAGGGAACAGGGACCAAGTGAGAAGATGGCATTAATAAAAGCTAGACAGGCTCTCCCACATTTTGTACCAGACTCCTAATCTACAAATCTGGGCCAGATCTTTCCCCAAGTACTTCTGGAAGCTTTTCTATCCATGGTGCTGTAAATGTGTAGCAAGGAACAGTAATTTTAGCTGATTTTTTAGTTATTTTAGTGAGCATGTATATAAATTTTGCATAAAGAGAGATATTTAGAACTGTATCTATAACTTTAAGGTGTTTTTTGAAGAGTTGTTTGAGTAATACAAGCACAATCTTTTTCAGATTTCAAAGAGAAGCAGACTTTACTGTAGAGGACTTCAGCCTGTAGCAAAGGGGGGAAGGGAAGGGCTGCTAGCAGTATCTGCCATTATTGCCAGAATTTTCAACTGCCAAATCCATAACACCTTAGGTCTGAAGTTTTCTGAAGGACAAAGCACAGCCCCTATTAATTCCCATCTTAAAAGTTCCATCTCCAAAGTCTGTCTTATTCTTTGATGTGTAAAAACTGAAGTGCATCCAGGATGAGGACTCACCTGTGAAAACATGGCAATTAGTTCTGCATGAAAGCAATCAAGTCAAATTCAAGAAGAAGAACAAGCTCTTCTGTCTCAGAGACTGTCCCAGAAGACCCTGCCAAAAGGATGATCAAGAATACTGGGAAATATTTAACAGCAAAGGAATATCTTATTTGAAAAATAAAAGAGTGGTCCTCAAGCCACTCAATTTTTGGTCTAAAGAGTTAAAAACCAAACAGCAGAACAAAACTTTAAAGTGTTAGGTCTGGAAAAAATGGAAATGAGCTGGAATTTGTATTCTGAAGAAGAGCTAAAGTAGAGCAAGAGAAGAAAACAGCTGCTTTAGGAATACAAACACTAAATTTATGGATGCTGAGAGGACAGTGGGACTGAGCTGTTTAATGCATTGTGTAATGCACCACAACTGTTGGCTTAGAATATTTAACCAGGAAGGCTAAAAACTTAGACCAGGCTGGACAAAGTTCATGAGTGGGTTACCTCCTCATTCTTTTTGATTATTTTTGAATTATTTATTTTCCTGCTCAAGCCTGGAAAAAACTGTATTGCAATAGAGAAGAGCCTCAGAAGTAGCAGTGGCAGTCCCAGGCAGTGGTGAGTCCCTGGTGACACTGAAGTGACACCTGGCCCAAGCCAGGCCAACAAAGTTTCCTCACCACAACAGCCACCACAGCATTTAATTGTTGCACTGCATTATTACACAGTTCATCTCCTAAATGGCTCCTTCAGAAAGCAACAAAGAGCAGAAATGCTAAAACCTAACTCAGACGAGAAAACACAGATTTAATTCCAGGAGTGGAACAAATGTAATGTCACCAGGGAATCCAGGAACAGGGCTGTCAGGGATGTGGGGGGTTCTCATAGGCTTGCCACCAAATTTTAACATCACTTTCTCATTCTTATTTTTTACTTTCTGTCTCAAATTTGGTTGCTTTAATCACCTTCAAAACAATAAAAAGGTTACCCTACACATAATAATGTATAGGCTAATATAATATTATCTATTTTTATATATATATTGTCTGTTACTTACCCTCAAACCAGCTGCAGCAGGTAAAGGAAGAAGGGGAATTTTGCCATTTTGATTATCTGGTGCTATTCTGGTTATCCTGACAAGCTCTGCAAGTCTGTACCAGTGGCAGAGTCCTGGACAGAATTAGAGTACATTAGAATTAGAATTAGCTAATGAACACAAAAGGCTACTGAAGCCTTCTATCCCTACAAGCATGTTTATACACACACCCCACACTTTGCAGCATCGGACCAGACACAAAACCAGATGAACTTTAACTCATCCTCAGGAACAATTTCTGAGCTCACAGCCACCACACACTCCTGCAGTCAGCAAGAGTGGAATCTGGATCACTGGGCAGTGAAAGGGATCCAGGTATGCCTGGAGGAATCAGCCACTGAGGAGTGGCAGACTGCTTGTGACATAAGCCAATAACTGGTCCTCTCAGGAGAAAATGCTGTGGAGAACAAATGTCATTTCTCTGCAGGGAGTAAATGAGCAGAACTCTGCTCACTGGGACTCCTTGCTGCTCACTGAAGGGTTCAGTTCACTGGCAGCACGACTTGCTCTGTTACACACGCTCCAGTGGGGCCAGGAGAGCCTTGGTGCTCCTGCCTCGAGGACAGAGCTGCCTTAAAGTCATGGCAAATGGAGCTGAGCCTGGGGAGACCTCATCAAACCCCTGAACAATCAAACATGACAACAAAGTGCACCTTCCCTGGAGATGGATAAACAAAGTGCTCAGCAGTGAGGAGATGAGCCCGCAGGTGACACAAACACACCTTTTTCCACAGTCACACGGAACAAAGATCTGTGGGAATCCTCTGTAAGTGCAGTTCTGGCTCCTTCCACCCTCAGCAGAGATTCACCAATACAAACCATCCTCTTTCTATTGGCTGTGGACAAAAATCTAAAATTAAAACCGATTTTTGTGACTGTTTGCTGAAATAATCAGTTTTATTCTTGTTTATAACGACTCCAGCACATAAAAGAAACCTCTGGATCCATTATCAGTTACGCTCTGCTTGCCAGTCTCAGCTATTTATGATGCTAAATTATACAGCCCAAGTACAAAACCAAAAGTTGCCAAAAATCAGGGAACTCATAAATTGGGAAAGCAGAAGAGGTAGGAGGGACAAGCTAATGCCATTAGAAGCAATAGCTAGCCTCCTTCAAAAGGATAATTCCATGTGCTGTTCAACAGGTCAATAATCAATACATTTCATCATTTGAATATAATTCAGCAGGCACTGTCCTGTGACAGCTATTGTCAAGCCTACAATTATTTTTTTTTTGGTCCTATTGAAATGAGTTTTGGTTGTAGGATGAGTCCCAGTTTCTAAGAGTACCCTAAATTTCAAAAAACCATTCTGCATGTTTTCATTTGGAATGCAAATGAAGCAAGGTGTTTTTATAGCATGTCCTACTTCTTCCTCATGTATAAACTCCCTCTATAACTACTTTAATTTAAAAGCTAATCTTCTAAAATTAATATTAATTAATATGGCAAATTTTTGTATTTTGTATTAATTAATATGGCTTTTTTTTTGTATTTTGTATTTCCCTACCACCTTCCCCGCTCTCAGTTGCAGGTTTGCAGCTGGAATGGCTCAGCCCCTCTGCAGGCTGCCTCACAGATAACAAATCTGTGCCAGCTTGCTGAATAACCCCAGAGCTGCTCAGCCACTCAGAACTGCTCCATCTGTGAGTCCATCCATCCATCCACAGAGCCAGATGCTCTGAGTGCCTCACCCACCTCTCCTGAGGGATCCACATCCCAAAAATGCTCCTAGCAGAGCTGCCCTGCAGGCAAAGGCAGCCAAGCCCTGCCTGGAGACCCCAGGATTTGTTCACCTGGGCAGGTGCAGTGCTGGCCTCTCAAGTCAACTTTGCTGCTGCCACAGATAGAGGGAGATCTGCAAAGGGGGTTCAGCAGGACAAAATGAAATTATTCACTGCAAGCATTCTAACAAGAATGAATAGAAAGCAAACATTTCAGCCAGGAAGGAGAGCAGGTCAGAGATCAGGCAGATTCCATCAGACTGATGAGTTAAGGTTTCTCTTCACATCCACGGATCTGCCATCTCCATTGGTTTGCCACTGATAGGCATGTAGGCAACTCAATTATTCTATTATTGAAATTAGATAATGAGATAATTATATAAACTTCCTTTCTGAGCTCGTACATGCTCCGATGACACAGGTTGCAGAAATATTCCTGCCAAGAATTTGATTATTAAATGTGAACTTGCTTCAGCAGAGATGCAGAAGTGCACTTGATTCTTTGTCACACATCTGTGCAGCTCTTTTTTAGTTCAGCACAAAGTTCAAGACATGGGATGTGAATCAGCAGCTAATCATTTTCCAAAATATTTGGCTTATAAATATTTCCTTAGAAGAAATATTCTCTTTTAACAAAGGATTTTGTTGAAAAAGCTTTACTTTAATTTTCATTCTCATGCTTTACTATGCACAACAAAGACGTTTTTAATGAAAGATGTAAGTATTTTATTACTTACAAGTCACATAAGCCAACAGACTATGTTTAATGAATAACCCTTGGACAAGGTACCAATGCATTTTAGTAGTTAAATTTCCAATAAGATAAACATTCCGTCACTCAAATACCAAAGCTGCTGCCTTGAGCTGCTGGAACATTTGTGGGAGCTGAAGTTGCTGCCTCCCAGCTGTTTGCTACCATTACTGTTTTGCCAGAAATTGCCAGAATGGGATGCTGCTCAGGCAGCAGGATGCTCAGTACCAGGATTCCCTCATCTGTCCCAGGGGAACATCAGCCAAGTTAACTCCAGTCCAACTGGTCCTGCACTGTGGGGAATCAAAAGGAATGGAAGGATTTCTTCTAAAGAGTAAATGTTCAGTGTCACATGCATTTTATAACATGGTAAAAATAAATGTAATTATCAAAAGAGCTGCTCCAACACCGAGCCCTTTCCATGGGCTGCAGCTGTTCCCAAACTGCTCCAGCATGGGTCCCTTGCCATGGCACTCAGTCCTTCAGGAACAGGCTGCTGCACTGTGGGTACCCTACAGGGCCACAGATCCTGCCAGCAGCCCTGCTCCAGTGGGGGATTCCCACGGGGACACAGCTTTTTTCAGGAATCCCTGCTCAGCTGGGCTCCTCCCGGGGCTGCAGGTGCATCCCAGCTGCCTCCGCAGGGGAAGCTCTGCCCCAGAGCCTGGAGCAGCTCCTGCCCCTCTGTGACCCAACAGCCACAGCAGCAGGGTTCCAAGATCCAAACAGAGCTGCCAGGAGCAGGGGCAGTCAGAGCTGGGCCACGCTCAGTCCCCACATCTGGAAGCCTCTGCCCAGAGGCACAAGATTTGTCCCCAGCAACTGGAACCTGCAGAAGGTTTAGATGTCTTTGCATCACACAAATGCACTCTGTTTCTGACATAGCAGCAATCCCCAATTACAGTCCTGACTGCAGGAATATGCTGTTAAAATCGTGAGAAGGGAAAAAAATTCCAGTTGAGAGAATATCCTTGATAAAGCAGCAGTGGCCTAGGTGTCAATTAGGCCTAGGGACATACAGGTTTTTTAATGTAAGACAGAACTGCTGGTTTTAGTCATACAGGTGGATTCATTTATAAATGCTGACCCCGACATATAATTTTCAATAAAAGCTGTGCTTTTCTATCTAATTTCCATCTTTCAGCTGAGACATTAGCATTTCTTATTCAATGTTCTTCCCTCTCAAGCATTACCTCAGATTAATTGGCACCGTATAAAATAAGTTCCTTGGTGCACAATGGTAACCATGGTAGCCTTCATCCTATCTTCACAATGCATATGCAATTCAGTTCTCAGGAAAACATAATTAGTACGTAGCATAATACATTCTCTCCAAACACATCACCGTGCTAAGACATACACTAAATCAAAGCAAATGATGCCTACAGCCTCCACCCAACTGGGCTCCCGTTGCTGAGCAGTTACATTACAAGTGAATATACTCTTAAATAGTTTTGCTGCAGCATCCCCGACTTGCACAATGTGCTTCTCCCCCCCTGTGCCTCTGCTTTCCGGCCAAAGGGTGGCAATGTTCTCCTGGCTATCAGCACACAGGCAGCAGAACTGCATTCCTGCAGGAATAGGAACATCTCTTTGCAGCCAAGGCAGAAAGCTCTGCATCATTAACTGCACTGCTAACTGGGTCCCAGTACATCAGCACTGACCCCTTCAGCTACAGGAACAGAAATATTAAAATACAGTTTGGGCTGTTAGCCAACGAGCTGTGTGAAAGTACATTCACGTGGATCTCTTGATGGGGAAATTAAAAAGCATATGCAGCTTAAAAACCAAGTGTGTTCTCTGTTCCTTATCACACATAATCAGGCCCTGCTGAGGGTGCTCCTGACGTGTTTGCACAGGACAATCGCTGCTGTGCAGGCAGAAAGAGCTTTCACAAGCCTGCCTGCCCAGAAAGTGCCACCCAGCCCCTTGAGATTTGTACAGAAGCTGATTTAACTCGTTTGAGAAGTTTCCCGTGGCTCCTTTGGGGATTTGCCAGTTGTGAGGATTGAAATAATCTGGAGCAAACATCTGCAGCGAGGCCGTAACAGCGCACGCACAGAGAGTGGCAGGGGCACAGCAGCACGGGACAGGCTGTGCAGCTGGCACTGCTCTAATTAGTGCACCACCAATCCCTGCACTTAATGCCACAAGCTGGGAATAATCTCATGCAGGAATAAACTGCTGCCCTTGTGCTGGACCCACTCCCATGATTACCAAACACGGCGTGTCCCACACCCAGACATCCAGCCAGATTCCCTCAGACATTAAAAGAGAAATGATGTTTTTCCTGGTGTTTTACAGGGGAAAAGTTACACTTAGAGACCTAGAGAAAAAAAATCCATTTTCAATGCCACCAACTATTATCTGTTAAATTAGTGTTAGCTACAAAAAGCAAAATGAGAACCACTTCTTCACAAAACAGGAGGAACAAGAGTAAGGAGGTGTCCAAACCTGTCCAGGATAGTTGGTACTTAGCAAACATGAAAATAATTGAGTTCTTCATCTGAACACATATTGGTTTGTTTACTGAAGTGTTAAAAAGGTTGCTTTCATTAAGCCTGGGATATCAGTGTGTCAGATGAAATGCAGACCTTCACTGTAAAAATTTCAGACAACTGGTTTTGGACCCCAAATCAACCTAGCAAATATGATACCAAGCAGTTGCCTGGTAGTTAACTCATCTCATCCCAGAATTCTTAGCCATTTCCATATTTACAGTACAGATCTTCACTTTATCCCTGTGAAGTACTGTACATGTGCATGAGAGGAAATACTTTCCAATCCACACTAAAAACTCTGAAACAGCTCTAATATTTTTGAATTCTTTTGACAATCCTATTTGACCTTTCCTTTATACCAAGGACACGCTGTGGACACTTTTCTCTTGTGCCCTGGCAGTGCTGTTGTCAGGACAGAATGAGCTGACATCTCCACTCTCTCATTGCCACCCCTGCAGGTGCCAGCCTCGTGTCCCAGTCTGCCAGGAGAACACATCACAGCCCCATTTCAGGCATTCATGGCAAAAAGGAGCATTATGAGCACAAAATTCCAGCCACCCACATGCTAATGATGCATGTGCATCTGATTCCACACATTTTGACTTTTAGATATGTCAGGAAATGGAAATGAACATTTTTGTCAAGTAACAGTGCTACAAAACAACTTTTCAGGTAAAAATGTCATAATTTCAATTATATAGAAGCACAGAAATGCCCTCTGTTAACACTGTAACACTTAAGTAGACACATCACACTTTCCTTTTATGGCCACTATAAAATCTATTTGGCAAAAAAATGGGGACAACTGGTAAAATGGCACATTTTATGTGCAAAAGCATGCTAGTGCAGGAGCAGCTATTTATCTTCATACAGGTGATGACATTTATTTCATGCAATTACATTGGCTAATCTATCAAAGAAGTGTTGCACGACACCAACTTTACATTTTTCTGAAGATACAGCATTTCATTACATGTTTTGTCACCTGGTCTCATCATGGCAGCAATTCAAAGAAAAGCTTTCAAGTGGCTCTGATAGTTGCTGGACTCACTGCACTCACAGCTATCCTGGGACAGAGGAAAAATGTTAATTAGTGAGCACAAAAAGGAACAAAAAACATGACCCAAGGCTCAGGTAG